TTTTTTGTTTCATTAAGTTTAATTTTTAAATTGAAAAAAAACAAAAAAAACAAAAAAAACACCGAAAATAATTGTTGTTGGGCTCTGATAATTGCGTCAATTACCGTCGGTATAGAAGTTTGTCCATCGTCCATCATTAAGGAAAGTTTGCATTATTAAATTATTTTTCCTTTTCACCGTTTTTTCTAATATTCTTTTTATTTATTTATTTATTCCCCTCCGATCATTATTTATTCGATCCATGTGCTTAATTAACAGATTTAACAATTCATCTTTCATACAAATCATAAGCATGAAAATTAAGGACGTTATAACATGCAACTTTGACACTTAATTTTATTAAGATAGATTATACAACGCTTACTCGTATTCATTTTTTTTGGCAAAATTGCGGAGCATCTTTATTAAAGTGAACAAACTAGGACAAATGCGGAGATTTGATTAAAATCGTCGTTTAAAAACACAAAATAACATATGCATTTTCGACTTCCATATATTTTTGAAAAGTGCCGTACGGCTAGCCAATACCGTGTGTACAGGCTAGTCGTACGTGACTCACGTACGGCTAGAACTTTTGGCTAGCCGTACGGGCCGTACGGCTAGCCACTTCCTTTTCCGGAGCGGAATACGAGCCGTGTTTGACCTGTATTTTGAATACAATAATTTTACAGCACATTTCGATATTATTGAAAACATTTTGTTTTATATTAGCTCTATTCTATTAATGAAAACAGAATACTTACAAAGCCTTGTGAATCCAAGCTACCGATATCAATATCTAGATGTGTGACCGCGTGATGTCGCCATCGAAATCTAGTTCGCGTTTCTGCGCATGCGTTAGCTTTCTGCGCATGCGTAAGGTAAATGATATTTTATTGGTTAATGGGGCTCTATCAAATGAAGTTAATTTATAATCTTGGCCGAAAAAATTGTCCTTGACCACAAAACCGTAATTTGCGGGTTGCAAGTAAAACTGTCCCTACTTGTGGGGAAAATAAGCCGTTTTTGTGTTTTTTAATGGCCACTTGTGGGTTGCACCCCATAAGCAGCAAATTTACACACAAGTCTTATTCGTACTCGCTGTGCAACCCAGAACTATCTGCTCATAGGAGCGACGGACGGACGACGGACGGACGGACGCCGGACGAAAAGCGATCACAAAAGCTCACCCTGTCACTTTGTGACAGGTGAGCTAAAAATACCCCCTAGCTTGCATATTAATGCCTTTCAGATATATCATTAAAGGTCCTGTAACACAAATTCTTTTATGGTTTTATATCATAATAGTTTTTTGTATGATTCTCAAATAAAGATTTATCAATATTGTAAGTTCCAAAAAGCTGTGAACATATAACTTCACCGTGGCCGAGGGGTTTGCACGCTCGTTTATGAAACGAGAGGTCTCGAGTTCAAATCCCAGTTGATGCAACTCATTTTTTTTTCTTTTTTTTTTAGTCAAATAAACATTGAATTGACTATCAGTGTTGCAATTAGTCTTTTAGCCAATTTACACAGGAAAGCATTGGTGGCACTATACAACAAGAGCCACCGCCGGGCGGGGGCAACGCTCGACTTTTTACTTTTTCTAAACGCAAACATAGAAAGGTTTGAACATATACTGACGTTTCCTTTTTATAAATTTAGTTGGTCTGTCTTGTCACATTAGTTTTGTTTATATATTTTGTATATATATGAATAGAAACATTAAGCATATTTCTAAAAATAGCAACAGTACGCAATTTCTTAAAATAGCAACATGACGCAATTTCTAAAAATAGAAAAAAATGACGCAATTTCTAAAAATAGAAAAAAATGACATAACTTCTAAAAATAAAAAAATGACGCAATTTCTAAAAATAGCAACAATGACGCAATTTCTAAAAATAGAAAAAAATGACATAACTTCTAAAAATAAAAAAATGACGCAATTTCTAAAAATAGCAACAATGACGCAATTTCTAAAAATAGAAAAAATGACGCAATTTCTAAAAATAGAAAAAATGACGCAATTTCTAAAAATAGCAACAATGCAGCAATTTCTAAGAATAGAAAAAATGACGCAATTTCTAAAAATAGAAACAATGACGCAATTTATATATATATATATGTGTGTGTATATATATATACATGCATATATATATATATATGCATGTATATATATATCAGAGATCTGCCAAGAATTTGAAAGTACTGGGCCCTGGGCCCACTTGGTCTGAAAATGATGGGCCATTTTTACCAAAGTATGGGCCTTGGGAAAATAAGTAAACATTGACCAAAATAACTGTTAAAAAGTTTGTAGATAATTGAATTTCCCCGGTAATAAAACTTAAATCATTTTTTATGACAAGTGGTTCACTTATATTTCAGTACTTTATCAATAATTAAAAATTATGCCTACATGGTAACTTTCTAACTAATATTAATTGCAGTCAAAAATGAAAGTATTTTTTAAATGGCTACTCAAAAATTTGATATGCAAATTTATTCACATAATTGCAGG